ACAAATGAAGCCTAAGATCCATCAATTTGGACAGTTTTTTTAAATTTTTCTAAAAGTTAAAAATTTATTAAAAGAAATAAAAACCAGTGGTATAATAAATTATCCCAAAAAATAAAGACTAAGAATTTCCTTTGGGATGACCTTTCTTTTTGTTTTTAAAAATAGTTTTTTTAGTATGAAAATTTTAAATTTTTTGTCCTAGAAGAGCTGCTTTAAGATCAAATAAAAAGTCGCACCAAACGATCTAAGATTTCTACTATGGATTTTTTTTTGCCTCTTAAAGAATTTGTTTTGTAAAAAAAATTTTAATATTTGTATTTTAAAAACACCTTTTAAAACATAATAAAAAAAATCATCTCAAATGAAAGATTTGAGCTAAAATTTAGGTTTCAAAACAAAGTTTTGTCGATGGACCACACTACGTACAACTATAGCCTTTTATTGTCAGGACCATTTCTTTTTTATATAGCCGAACAACTCCATTGTTTGATTGCTAACAAGAATTGTAGAAAGCCCTCACGTTCTTTTCCAGTGTCACACCTAATGTGGATGACCTTATCTAGTAAGTAGTAGGGTTGGTTTGTCTATTGTTTGAGAAATTATTAGGTACGGAGTGCGGACGGGGAGAACCGTATGCACACTAGTATAAAATCGCGCTCGGTTACCACTCGGTACCCAGTGTACCGCTTGGTACCCTGTGTCTGTGCAGACGGTTCTCACCCCGTCCGCATCTCGCACCCTAATGAAATTTCTCCAAAAATAGACACCAACCCTAACACTACTAGTAGGTCATCCATCATTAGGTGACACTGGAAAGAACGTGAGGGCTCTTCTACAATTCTTGTTAGCAATCAAACAATGAGTTTCGGCTATATAAAAAAAGAATGGTTCCTTACAATAAGGCATTAGTTGTCCGTAGTGTGGCCATCACAAACCTTTGGTTTTGAACCTAAAATTTTAGCTCAAAATCTTTCATTTTGAGAGAATTTTTTTATTATTTTTTAAAAAGTTGTTTTAAAATACAAATATTAAATTTTTTTACTAAACAATTACTTTAAGAGGCAATAAAAAAATATTCCATATAAAATCTTAGATTTCGTTTGGGGCGACTTTATATTGATTCTTAAAAGCAGCTTTCTAGTAAAAAATTAAAAATTTTCATAACTATTAAACATTTTTAAAAACAAAAAGAAAGTCACCCAAGGAAAATCTTAGTCCTTTATTTTGGATAAATTTTAATACCACTGTTTTTATTTCTTTTAATAATTTTTAACTTTAGAAAATAGATTAAAAAAACTGTCCAAATGAAAAATTCTTAGGCTTTCATTTGGATGACTTTCTTCTGTTTTTTAAAGCAGCTTTTTTAGTATAAAATTTTAATGTTACACCCTAAAAAATATTTTAAAAAAAATAAAAACGTTCTCATGAACCTTAGTTTACTAAGATCAGTACTAGAAATCCATATTTAAGATAATCTAAAATTAGAAATTAATATATCAGAAAAAGCACAAACAGATTTATCATTCATAAAGCCCTACATTGAAAAAATAGTAAAATTCCCAGCTTGCTCTGTTTGCGCGTCTGAAGCCTGTATAATTGATTCATCATCTCTTTAATAAAAGTATTTTTCATACCATCATACGCTTTTATAATCATCGGGCAGAGCTTAGTTGTGACCTTTTACTGTTTTTAGTTTTCATAATCATATGCATCGACAAGCAAAAAAATACTTTCTAAAGCTTGTCAAATGCATTTTGCAATACTTAATCTTTAATATTTAATGTAATAAATTACTATAATTAATTAGACAATTGAAAGATCAATTCAACCAAAATTGAAACCAATTCACAGTTGAACCAGCGATTCTAACATATTCAAACCATGATGCAAAAACAATTTTTTCAGGATAGACGAATTGCTCTTACGAACAATTCATAGATAAACTGGTCCAGACGGCCAGTCTGATCCGAATTGTTAACCTTTAGTCAGATGTTCGAGAAGTTTTTTTAGCAGTGATTCAAAACAAATTCCCATAAAACTCAAGAAAGTCTCATCTAAAAATATAATTTTTGAATGAACTTACAGTTTTTAACATTCATTAAGAAATTGATTTGATTATTTTAATATATTTTTAAGCAATTCCCTCATACCCTCCATACTTTTTTTTTAATATATATATAATTTCACCACCACCAGTGTGCAGGCAGCTATTGATATATTCAGGCCACACACATCAGAGAAGAGATTACGTGTCCGGGACACAGCTTATGTTCGGAACTCGGTTACTGTGAAGTCTGAGCACCGAGCTCAGTATTAGAGTACCAGAGCCTCAGTACCGAGGTAGGAGGTGACTGTTGCACATTTTCATTGGGCTCCGAACACGTCCGGGTGACCTGACCCATAATGCATTTATACAAATCAATTCTTGTATCCGTGGCAAAAATAAAATATAGACAAATTTAACCTTTAAGCTTGAATGAACATCAACCCACCAGAAATTTTGCAACCAGAAAGCACTGAGCAAGGTTTTTTTTTTTTTTTTTTTCATACTCTGAGCAGGTAGTTACAGAAACAGAAGGGTGCTACACGGACAAAGACAATTACTATTAGTAATTTTGATCTTTTTATCTATGTTTTGTTCATCTCAGATTCTCATCTTGAAGATCTGTATGCTGCTTCGTCTTCCTTCAAAATTAAAAAAGGAAACTAGATAATTCTAAGAGTTACTTCCCAGCATTACAAAAAAAAACACCATTTATCCAATACCTAATTTTCATAATCCAATCACATTCAACCCAGATTTGACATAGTATCGCTATATTGGAATCACATCAATCTGTTATGCAGTAAAAAGTAAGCATCATACGACTTGATATCTTGATTTTTCCTGTGCATTAGTCTCCTCATATATTGATAGGAAATACTTGAGGTCGCAAGTAACCCTAATGAGAAATACTTGAGTTCGCAAGCCAAACCTAATAAGTAAAACAGCGAGAAAAATAAAAGAACTTTGGTGGCAACAATAAAAACAGTAGATATCTTATAGAATCAAAGCGAATCAAGAAATGAAACAAAGATACATGATCCTCAATTTGAGAGGAGGATTGTCTCTCTCAATCGTCTAGACCTAGAAGTCAGACCCAAAACACCAAAGAGAACTTCAAAAGAAACAATAATCATTGCATGAAAACCTAACCGCTAATTCCCTTCATCCTACTTAAAGCATACAATTAATTAATTAAGCTAAATTACTCCCTTGCCCTTGCACCCCCTCCCTTTGCCTTCAAAATATTTGAATTTGAATTCCATAGTGGCCCTACCCCTCCCTCTCTCACTTTGGTATTGCCGCGCCACCTCCTGTAGGGCAAACAACCGGAAGGGTCGGTTTGGAAGTTGGACGGTCCACTAGAGGTCTAACACATCATCTGATTATGTCTTGAGAACTTAAGAAGCAAATAAAATAACCAGAAAAGAATGGCAATAACATTCCATCTAACTGCTACTAAGAAATATGAGATGAAATAATATTCAACGATTATTGAAAAATAAGAACAGCCTTCTCTTTCAATAGATAAGTTAGAAAAGTTGAAAACATAAACAGTACCATTAACTACTCATCAAGAAATAATATACTAAAAACTCTATACTTACTGTGAATATGAAACTGAAGTTATAATTACAGAGGCAACATGGATTGTAAAAGAAAATAGCACTTATAAATACTAAACAAGTGCAAAGAATTCATAAAGTGGTTTAACAAGAAGAAAACTATTCACAAGACACCGTATGACTCCCACTGGAAATGCAAGATCACGCCACTTACATGGAATACAACTTTCAAATGGCTGGTTATTCAAGTGCCGCTGTGGTTAAGTCATTGATACGAGATAAGCGGCTTCTCATCAAGTTGGTTTTGGATCATACACGCATCTTCAGTAATCTTGGAAGTTTCGATTGCAAGTAAAAATTTTTTAAGCTTTGAAGTGCATGCGGGTTTGGAATATCAATAAAAAACTTAGCTTCCATGAAAGGAGTATTGACAAGTAGTAGTCATCGAGGTATGCGCAGATCAACCCAAAGAACGGTTGCTTATCATGTAAGACCTCATTTGTTTCTCCTTAATAACGCCATTTTTTATTTAAATCGGCGAAAACAGTTTACCGTGTGTTGTTGTAAATGACTTTGCAAATCTCCATTTCTTATATCTCGCCGTAAGTACTGCCGGTCTCAAAAGAAAAATGCCGCTTACCCAACCTGCTTAACCCGAT